GGTAACGCATACAGAATGTATCAAAATTGGCTTGTATAAGCGGTTAAATAATATATATATATATATATATATATATATATATATATATATATATATATATATATATATATATATATATATATATATTGTTAAAAGTAATTAATCCTAAACATTATATTTTGTTGGATCGTGTCATAACTAAGTTAACAATTTATTACTTTTTTAATTTAGAATACATTACAATATTACTTTAAAGTTGTATTATTTTTCTATTTAGTCGGCTATGCATTTATGCTTTATCTAATTTTATGACATTTTATTTCATTTATCCTTTCGCGCATTATTTCCCATCTTATCTTGTGCTAAGTTAATAGTAATTATGTATCAAGTTTGATAAACGCCATTTTATACACGAATTTAATTTAGGCACGAGCGAGCTTGCAAGCGAGATATTATGTTAATTAATAAGGTTTTTCAATACACGATTGTTGCAATAACTATTTATATAATAACCTGCAAGTCTACAAAGGTGTTAGTGACATCTTCTAATATAAATAGCTACCTACAACTCTTTGACTTTTTACTTTATCCATAAACCTTTACTTTTTTTCATAAAGCACAATTGCAAGTTAATTAATAATAAAACGTTTGGTAACTATTAAAGATAAATAAAGATAAAAAACTATCAAATTGGCTCGCTCTGTTTTACTATTTAACATAACTATTTGCGATGTTATTAAATAGTAAAACGGCGTTCCATACGAACGTCAAACTTTTAATGAAATGGTAGACGATCACACTTAAACGGAAACTGCAAGGACCAACGCCAACGTCAGATCTATAAATCCCACTTAAATCCTTAAAACAAAATTGTCAAAGTAAAATAATAAAGGATAAAAAATGCAGCAAAAATTTAAAAAGGCAAATATTAATTTGTGTTAAACAAGCTCTTCATGTTTTAATTTAATTTAATTTTATAAACATTTTCCTTGGACAAGGATTAGAACGTTGCAATTTTGCAATACGGCCATTCCAAGCCCATGGACAGGACACATCAGAAACATGTCTAAATATATTCTTGTTACTTCCTTAAGTTTACTTATTTTTTCTACGAGTATTTATGAGAAGTATTAGCCAAATTTGGCCGACCTATGAAAGTTGGCTTCCTATTTTTGGACCCTAAAAACCGCTTGTAGATTATTCTACACTATTTTCGGACACCCTGTATATACTTATTAATATATTTATTTTATAAAAATCACAATGTTTTTAATAAATTGTATCCGATAAAATTTTTATTTAATTCGTCTGCTGGTTTTAATTACATAGAGGATTAAAAATTGTCTCTTTCAATTAAATCAAAAATCAATTCAATCCCAAAAATTCATCAACTTTGACAGGCTATAATATAACTATACTAGATGTTTTATTATTATAATTAAAATTATATAAAAAATAAAAACAATTTTAAATTCCTTGAAGTTTTTTTGACTGCATGTTTTAAGTTATCCCACCTTGCGACGCGTCGCGACGTTTCGAATCGTGGCGATAAATTGTACCTATTTATACAAACGGATGAAAAAGAACGTCTAGCATTTAGGTGGATAATTTAGGCAAAAAATAAAAATATTTGCACAAAATATGTTATCAAATTATTTAGAAATAAATAACAAAATAACAAGTATGAACTAAAAGAGTAAATAAACAGTTTCAATGTTTTTATAAAATTAAAAAAACTACAAAAATCGCAACTTGGAATTTCAAGGCGTATTTTTTTTATAAAAAAAGCTCTATTCTCGCTGATCATTGTAAGCTGGTGTGCGGCAAATTTCCTTTGGTCCAAAATGAAATTAATGTCGCTTTGTGCGTCTCCTGGTAGTCTCTTCATTTATCGGACGAGCCTGGGGAGCGGCCGTACAGCCGCCTCCTAATTCGATTTTGGCGGAACCAGGTGCGCGACTTTTGCCAATTGCTCCCCAAAGGCCTTTACAGAGACATATTGACGTTGTTGTTATTATTACTTAATAATTACTTAGTTTTATACCATACCAAACTGAGCAAAAAAACTAACGTACCACCCCGACATTGTACCATTTTATTTTTAATGCCTAATACCAAGACAAATATTTTATTCTAGAATTATTATTTACATTTTACTATTTTATCATAGTATGAATATGAGATTTTCATACTACAAGTTGTTAATTAAATTATTTAATAAATTTAGTTAGGTACTCTTTTACTGTGTATAAGTATTAACATATTTTCCAAGAGGTCTTGTTGTCTCATAGATTATATTTACACAGAGGGTTCAAAGGAGCTGCAGCCTGGCAAAGCACAGTGTCTAGTTACCGCTGTCAAATACCCTCTCGAGCCCCTTTGACCCCCCGTTCATGCGGCGTCTTTGGGAATCGACATGTGTACACACACGCAGCACGCAGAGAGTAACTCAGAAATTTATTCGACAATAGTTACGTCTCTATTATTGTTAATGACACCCCCTCGCTAGCTTTGCGGACAAAACTAGTCATTATCACAGCGGTGGTGATTTTTATAACAATGAGGGCCTCTCTCCTGCTCGGTTTGATTTTCCAGATTTAATCCCATAAATAAGCTGTTTAATTTAGGAATAATGGCCTTTTAATATATGGATTATGAACCTTGCATTGTTTACTTATTAAATAAACAATGCGCAAGCTAAATACAATTATTGTTTGTAATACAAACCTAAATTAACAAGTTTACTTGTCTAGTAAGATACAATTTTGTATCCTTAGAATAGTCTTTTGTCATATTTTCTCCTAAATTATTAAAGAAGTACTTTATTTTATCAGTAGGTTTTCATTGGCGTAATCTTGTTATACCCGTGTCCATGGACCAAGCCAAATTTTTACCCTAATTGCTTTTAACATTATTAGGATAAATAGATATGTTTGTGTGTGCGAATGTCTCTACAAATCGAATTAACAAAAGTGTCGCATCCAAATTTGGATTTAACGCAGCACTTAGCGCCGTGATGTGTGACTTTATCTTACTAAAGACGACTGTGGTTTGGAACACAAACAAATTTTCCCCAAAAAACACTATTTTCGCAAAAGGATGATATATGCTTTGGAGAGGTGCGATTCAATCGCAGTAAAAGTGTGCACATGACACTAGATAACGAGATTAAACGATAGGGAAAACAAGAAACAAGTGTGGCACATGGCTCGGCTCCCATGCAGAGGGGCATAACTCGCATTTTATCAGATTAAAAGAAGAGATGGCCGGTTATGTGCCAGATGCCTTTCAATGTTGCTAATTTTCTTATCACCAACTAATCTAATGTAGAGAGGCCCTATCATATACAGCGTGTCCAAAAACTACTGCAGTTTACACCGGTTGTCTCACTTTAGACAATTCAGTCGATATCTGGCTTTTGTACATACAATAATCGTAAAAAATATTAAAATGATTTCATTATCACCTAAAAAATAAAACTGTTTAAAAATAACCCTTACGAATAGGATTTTTTTAGACAATAGCTACCAAACAGTGATAAGATTTAAAAATTTATATTTATTTGTTTCAGTTTTTCTGTGTGTGTTGGAGTAGTGGAACAACTAGCGCGGTGTTGCCTTGCCGTAAGAGGTCCTGTCCATGATATAGCACCAGCTTGCGCGTTTCTATTGGCGGCGTTGGAATTTTTGGCGGCTCTAGCTGACCACTGCCCTGAAGATTCCGATCCTACACATCTTGTAAGTACATATTGATAATATTAAAGGTTTCAAGAAAAAAAGGAATGGTTAATTTAACTATATTAATTTAGTTGACCCATATTTATTTAAATCAACCGTGGGAAGGTTAATATAAACAAAGATTAGTTGGACGGTACTAAACCAGATAGTCATTTTATTTTTCTAAATTGGTTAAATTGTATGGTTCAGTTTACTAAATATGTTGTTTGTAAAATAAGAGTTACTTCAACCTTAAGCACTCTGTTAAAATGATTAAAACATTTGCCGTGCATTCCTGGTTGCATAGTATGTACCGATCGCGGCAAAGGCGGTGTGGATCGCGTGATGTTCTTAAATCTCGCCTCTGTTGGCTTACATGAAGAGTATATAAGGTGAGGTACTTCTTTGCTTTGGTGTGACACTACAAGTTGTTCGATACTAAAGAGACCTTGAATAGGTGGAAACAGCTGTCAATACTTGAAGTATTTTATTAAGTTGGTGGAACGCACTAAAACATTATCTCTAGCGAGGTGAAGGTTTAATTATCTGGAATAATACCTCTGGTATTATACTAGTAATGCGGCAAGGAACTGTTTTTTGAAGAATATAAGAAAATGGCTTAAAGAAATGTTTCTACTCCAAACATTTCAAGATCTTATTTTTATTGTTAGGTATATAAATGCGCCAAACGATATGGGTAAGTTGTACCAAGCCGTTAACCTAGTTAGGGTAACAAATTATATTTAGTCAATTCAACCAAATGTATTTAGTACATTGGACTGGTAGGTAAAGGTCACTTGAACTATATAAATGTTTGTTTCAACCAAATATATAGTTGTAAAATATAACCAAATGCGGTTGTTAAAATAACTAAATGTTTGGTTGGCTCTATTGAAACAACATATTTAGTTAAATGAAACAAATAATAGTTGGGCTAACTAAACCTTTTTTTCTGTGTACATATTGATAATATTAAAGGTTTCAAGAATTCAAATTGTTGAGTTGTCTAGGCTGATATTAAATATTCCTTTTCCTTGAGTTGTTTAGAAGTTTCAGAAAAGTTCCTAACATAAATATAGTTTTCTACTGGACACCACTTTTCGACTTATTTCTGTTTTTTTTTAATATAAAATATATGATACGATTTAATATTTCAGGGAAGTAATCGAACGTAACATTATTAAAATCCGATTCTCGTTCAAAACGCCTTCTGAATTTTTCTGAGAACAAATAGAAACATTGAGAAATCCATTTATTTTAAAATTACAAATATTTGAATTCATTCTACTTTTATTACTTTTACAGATAAGTACTTTGCATGGTACAGAACTTCTGGGCTGCGTTTCCATGTTGTATGGTTCTCTGTTACCTCCAGATTCAACTCCTCGCGTGGAGGGACAGTTGCCACCAAGTATCCCAGATCCGTGCCTATCTTTAGCCACGGCCACCTTCATATTATTAAGGAGAGTTGCTGAACTGGACCTGAACAAATTCCAAGTAAGTACCTGCGCAGTAAGAAAGTATATTCCATTGTACCTCTTTAAAATGACTACTTCATATACATATTTTCACTGCCCAATAAATTAAAGGTCTTATCAATTTATGTAAATGTAAATGATATTGTTGTAATTTTTTATGATATTGTATGACAGACATACTGAATGTTGCAAATTAGGATGTCCAGTCCTATGTAAAGCCGGTTGAATATTGTTCTTTAAATCAGTTGTTCATAGTTGTTTGTCAAACAGGGTATTCCATAAAAAACCGTAAAAATGTCTAGGAGCGTTAAATCGTATAATCTTGGTGGTCAACTAATACTCTAAATTATAAAACCTTAAATTGATTATTTCACGCCCAGGTTGAAACCAAAAGTTACTAATAGTAATACTAATAATACATAATCGGTTATTGTTGTCGGACATCTCTTGCCATTAATAAAAAAAAGGTTCCATTGATTCATGTTTTAAATAAAGCGAACAGAACTTTAATGTATTGGCATTAACTGATCACCAACCGACCTATGTTTGTTATTTTGTCCTTTCTGTTATACGTTTAAAGCTTAATTTTCATGTATCCGTTTGTCCGTCATCCGTATGTCAGTTTTTCAATAAAATCGTCCGATAAGAAATGTTCTAATTTTCATGCATACGTTTTTTAATGACGTTTAACGGATTGATTTTGCGACAAATAGAAATTAAGTGTCAGTATATTCACTTACTAAATTTACCTAATGCTTAATTGTCATATTTACAATTATGTCAACAATTGTAACTTTAACAATTAGCTGTCTAATAAATTTAAAGGTAGGTAAATATACCTTATAAAAAGAATATACTAGCCCTAATATACATTAAAATGTGTAGTTTTAAAAAAGCAGGTCCTTTTAGTTCTAGTTTTAATTTTTTTTGTTTTTCTGTTATTAAATAAAAACTTAACAGTAAAACATTATTCACATAACGAACGTAATATTTCCGTTTTACAATCTTATTGAAAAAATATAAAAATGTTTGAAAATAAATTATCTTAAAATAACGTTAGGCGTCAAAAACAGATGTGTAGTGACGGATGAGTTAAAATTATTTAACCTTTCTCTGTCAGACGTACGAAGTTGAAACTTGACGGACCGATAAAATGTCATAATTTTCGAATTATAATTGGACCAATAAGAGCGCTCCCGGATGAACGGACTGACGGACAAACGGATACATGCAAATTAAGCTTAACACGACCACCAATGAAACATCAACACATGCAACAAGCATGTGCATAATATTTACGCAAGTTTGTCTGATAAATCGATCATTTTGATAAAAAAAAATAATTTGTGCACGCTGTCACAATATGGAAGGAACAGTACATTCACTCGCGATATTTATGAATAAAATCTTGTCTATTAATGCATATGCAAAATATTATTCGTGGGTCAATAAGTTCTTTTAAAATTAAATAATAACAAAACATTGAAAGAAATCAGATCCAAGTTAGATAAAGTTTATGGCTCATTTACATTACCTTTTCAAACTGTTTCCTCCAAAAGTCCACTGCCACTGCCAGAAATATTTCCGTGCAAAGCATATGTCTTCTCACGGCCAATAATATTTTACAGTATAAACACTAGACTGGGCCAAAAAAACTATTTTTTTTTTAAGTATAGCGAAAGTTTGAGTCCATAATATTAATATTAAGAGGTCTATCATCGCAATTTTAATTTTTTTTCATCAACAAGTTTTTGTCTCAGAACTCCCAACCCATTGAGTTTAACAAAATTGACTCGAAAATATTTTTTTTAAGAAAATTAAATGCTCTACAAAAAAGGTTAAAGTGAAATTTTCCGTCAGATGAACCGTTTCCTTAAAATCATGCCTTAAAAATTGGTATAGTTTTACATTTTGATCTTTTAAATTGGAATTTTGTAATTCATGTAAAAATCAGTACCCATAAAAAAACGATAAATATTCTTATGGGAAATCAAATGCTTTACTAAAAAGCCTCTCAACATTTTTGGCTAAATTCACTCAATCAAAAGTTATTCAAGGTTAAAATTTCGTTTTGACTTCAAATTTAACCTTGAATAACTTTTGATGGAGTGAATTTAGCCAAAAATGATAAAAGACTTTTTTTGTAGAGCATTTGATTTCCCATAAGAATATTTATTGTTTTTTTTTCAGGGTACTGATTTTTACATGAATTACAAAATTCCAAAGTTAAAAGATCAAATTGTAAAACTATACCAATTTTTAAGGCATGATTGTAAGAAAACGGTTCATCTGACGGGAAATTCCAATTAAACCTTTTTTGTAGAGCATTCAATTTTCTTCAAAAAATATTCTTAAGTCAATTTTGTTAAACTCAATGATTTGGGAGTTATGAGACAAAAATTGCGATGATAGACCTTAATATTAATATTATGGACTCAAACTTTCACCATAATTTTTTTTGTCACCCCAAACAATATTTTCGATATACTTTACAAAAAAAAAATAGTCGATTTTTTTGGCCCAGTCTAATAAACACCTTTTCCTCTTTTAGGGTTTTTATGAGCTTTAATAAGCCTTTAGCACTCGCTAAGACTCGTCACAGAATTTCAAGGTTATTAAACTTAAAACTGATTGTGGGCGTTAGACTCATCCTTCAATCAAAGTACGACTATAGGCATATAAATATATTTTTTACTTCAATTTTATTTGTGGGTTTTTGGCGTTTGATATTTTCCGTGAGACGGTGTAAGCTTAGACGTCACTTCCGTCGCCTGCTAAAACTTTACTCAGCGGCAAAATAAGTTTAACTTTAAAATTGAATCAACCCAATATAATGTTTTGTAAGGACCTATTGACCCACCCTCTTAACATAATTGAGCACCAAGCGCAGTTTAAAATAGGATTTTAGTTTAAAATCTTGATATTAAAAATTGATATAATATTTAGATATAGAGGTAAAGGCTGGGCGATGTTTGTTGAAGTGGGGTTTGCGTTCTGTTTGCTCTGCGTTTTAATTGAATCAGTTCGCGATTGAAAATTAGCTTTGCGGTAGCGGATTGCATGGGATTCCCTTTCCGATGATGATACCCACTTTTCTCTTGGGTATTCGCTTCCATTCTATCCGCGCGCCACGTCCGTTCTTCAAACATATTACCAACAACGAGACCGTGCCAGTTTGTTTACCCAAGTAGATATCATCGCTATTCTACTCGTAGTGGAAGCTGAGCGAGGCTTGATGTTTGTTCGAAATTACAGCCAATTTTAACAATGTGATTTCAAGCTGGGGTTAAGCTGATGTTAATTAAAAAAGGCCTCTTAACTTCACTGAGTATATATTGATATAAGATCTAATTAGCCGGTTTTGTGACAATGTAAATTGAATTTTCAGGGAAACGAGACATTTTTTCAGTTCTTCATAAAATGTTAAAAACCTATTTGTGAGTTAAGAATGGAGTTAAAAAAAGAGTATGTTTAATATTAAGAAAGTAAAGCTGTTGTTAAAGCTTTTGCATCAAAATGGGTGTTTTATACGTAAATCAACGTATTGGCCGTTCTATTAGCTATTTTCGCGGAGCTAATCCCGAACTAATTCCGGACATCCTATGCATCCGCTTTTTAAAATTTGGGGTTCAACATGTAAAGTGCGCATAACAAATATTAAAATGCGCATGCCTAGGATGTCCGAACTAGTTCGGGATTAGCACCGCGAAAACACCTATTATCAAAAAGGAACCTTTGGAACATTTTTTTAATGAAATCTCTTAAATACAAGCAATGACTATTTTGTTAATTTAATGTTGAATTTTTTAAAAACAAATTTGAGAAAAATAAAAATTGCAACCTTTACAAAACAACGAACTGTACAAATTCTTTTTCCCGTGCAGTATACGAAAAAGAGACTACGGCGTTCATCGATCTAAGTAAACATGGAAACAGTATATTCAGAGCGGTATAATAATGAAAAAGATGTTCCTTTTATCCTTGTTATTCTTGTTTGTTGATTTTGTAAAATTCAATTTAGAATTTCCTCTCAATCGACAGGGGAATAGCTGCGGTCTATTTGTGTGGCAAAAGATCGGGCCAGTTAGTTTGTAGTGTGGGCTCGTCATGCTAACTGTGTAGTTGGTAATAATAATCTTGCAGCAGATGATACACCGTGGGGAGTTGACGCGTGCCCACATTAGCACTCCCTGGGGAACACCCGTTTGTACGGGGCACGAGGAACGGAAAGCCAAAGTACAAGTCAAATGCATTAAGACTGTTTTTAGATTATTTTTATAACAACCAAACATTTTAGCTTGTTTTATTGATAAATGGGTTTTCCTAAACACAAGGTATTTTTTCTTTCATTTAAAGGAAGTCTTGGGTGCAGAAGGCATATCACTGCAGTTTAGGCACATTGCAAACCATTTAATTTGGTGTTGCTCTTCTCCAAATATTACCTCTAGCAGAGATAAAATTGAAACGGAAAAACTGTATCAAGATTTGCTACATCAAGTGATTGCAGTTACTGGATATTTTGCTGTGGAAAATATGGAAAATCAGGTGAGACATTTTTATGTAATTTATTTGTATTAAATTATGCACTAAGGTTTGTTTTGGAAAGCACAAGTCAAAAATACTAACAATTAAATTTAGGTCCAAATAAAAAAATATGAATTTATTATCGATTTTTACACCCATCTTTTCGACGCATTTCTTAATGCATAAATTAGATTATAGCGCAGGCCTTTTAGGCGTTTGGGGTGAGTCGGGTCAAATTTTCGTAAATGGAAATTACTGCGGACAGTAAGGGAAAAAGTCCTTTTGCTTGCCTTCACAAAGGAGGGACAGGGAGCAGGACTGTGCCCAGATTTTTACTAGATCTATTTTTTAAAAAGCAAACATTTAAACAATTTAAACCCAGGTTGATAATTTTTAATAACACTGTAGGTACATTTTTAACTTTTGAAATATCACAGCTAAACGCTCGGACACGCGTAAACATAATTTACGCGTAAACATAATTTACGCGTAAACATAATTTTTGGTCGTAGTCTACGACTCGTAGATTCCAAATCCGTGCTCGGTTTAGCTGTATCAGGTCTAAAAAAATTTTTCCTGTTGGAAATCCGATACGGGGACACACTGTATACTGGTATATTATAATTTGTAAAATAATATAATTCACCTCTTGTGCCAACAGTTTTATGCTTTTTATTTCATTTAATATAATATCCTCAATTATACTCAATAAAAAAAAAATCAGCAAAAAAACATTTCAAATTTCCTAAATTATCTAAGAAAAACCCTTAGGGACATGTGTATCTTTTGATCAATTAACTTCAAATTTTGTAAGAATTTGTTATTTTTTTAATTTGGAAATGATGTGTGGGTCCCGCCAAATTTAATTTAAAAAAAAAATTTTACAGGGTGTTTAAATTTATACAGGGTGTTTCCAATATCTTTGTATTTTGACCTGATACAGCTAAACCAAGCACGGATTTGTAATCTACGACCAAAAATTAAGTTTACGTGTCCGAGCGTTTAGCTGTGATATTTTCACCTCCATACAGTGTAATTTAATATTTAAATACAAAAATTGTGACGTCAGAAACCCACCGACCCACCCTTTTACCTGTTGTGTGATACCGGACAGGCAGCTTTTTGATTTCATTTCCGGTTCCGGTCAGCTTTGGCGACGACGTCGTGTGTCCGCCACGTGGCGTCGCAGCGCTAATGGACGCGTGTCGTCCACCTACCAGATTCTACGGTTACTGAAAAACACGTCAATTAAACGTGAAAATTACACAAAAGATACCCAATAAATTAAGGATAGTCACGCTGATAAAATAGAGATCTAGAGGAAATAGTTTTTTTTTACATGACGAATCAACTCATGTTGGACAAATTTTAAAACACCGTATAATTACTGAAACTTTTAAACAAATATGACCTAAAAGCAAACTTTAGTAATTTGAATAATTTTAAATTTAAAGTTGGAAGATTACTTGTCTAGCTGGCCACTATATTTGCTTATGAAATATTAATTCCTTTACTTTTATTAAGTAAAACTTTTTCCATTTGGGGTACAAATTACCCGTTGACACACTAATGCTTTTTTTCTTACAATAATTATCATGAAAAATGACCATTAAACTTATTTCAAATGAGTTTTGCTATAATAAAAAAGTAATATAATGCCTATAACTATACATTTGTTTAACATAAATAGACACCGGACTTGAAGGAAAATTTTAATAACGATCCTGAAATAGGCACGAAAATAAATTAAAAGATAAAATATTTTTGGTGTGGTAGGGATTTTTTATAATTAATCAAATCTACCCATATTCCTAAAAATCATTCTTATACAAGGTCCCAAACTGATTTAGCCAGGCTCTAGTTCCTAAACCGTTTGATACATTCCAGCCAATTAAAAACTATATAATGTAACTATGAATTTGCTTTAATATAATGGTCAAAAATATTTAGAAAAAACACCCCTTAAAATTTACCTCCTTACCCTAAAATGTTAAATAACATTTTCTGTAGGGTTTACTTTTTCATTAGTATTGTGTATTAATGTTTTTCTACTCCTATTGCATAATAATTATTTTTATTTTGGCGTTTTCCTTATATAATGGTAACCACTGAAACTGCCCCGCCTGACAACGGCAATAATGAATTTATTTTTACGCTGTTAGGCATCAGTGATTGGCCAATTTAAATATTCACTGTGATTTGAACCAATCGGGTTTTAAATTGGAAAAAAGTGAGGTTAAAACTGCCACAGATGTTAGATTTTTGTGTGTTCCGAAATAAGTGCACCATACTTTAACAGCAGTTTCTACGTGCAAAAATAAGAAAAAAGACCCTATAAATATAGGTTGATAAATGCCTCCTAAGGGAGCTACAGCCCCCGAAAAGGGAGCTCCTGAATATGGTTTTTTTCTAATATTTATAAAAAAGTAGAAACACCCTGTCACTTACTACATGTCTTGAATTATTCTATTTTTTCCTAAATATGGCAGCCGTATTCCAAGTCCATTTCTATGGTTGTGATTTAATTGTGAAATTTTATGCCATCGATTTTAAGCGAAAACGGTGTATGTTATCGTTCAACACATGACCTTTTTTATGGGCAAAACTCCAAAATTTCATAATCTGATATCAAATTCTGGTACAAAATACGTACAAAAGAGTTAAGGTGGTTTTAACCCCACTTCCTATCAATCTGACCCAAACCTCATGAATTTTTTTAAATTGTTATTGTTACGTCTTATTGGACATACAATTTTTAATTAATTCCCCAAATTTCACTTTTCTATCTTTAACGGTTTTGGAGATATTAAATAAAAACCATCTTCAGGGGTTCTACTTTTGGGGGCTGTAGCTCCCTTAAGAGGCATTTCTTGACCTATGTTTATAGGGACCTTTTTTCTTATTTTTGCACGTAGAATCTGCTCTTAAAGAATGGTGCAATAAATTTTGTTACTAATGAAAATTACTTAATGGGAGTAAATAACTCATTGTACTCGGATGATTTACATCTTTGGCCTAGCGGCTCAAGACGCAAAATTCTTCCTCGTGAATAATAGCCTGCATTATCTCTGTTATAATATTCACTGCAAAAAAGGGTTGGTTAAGACAAATTAAATTAACTTCATTTAGGGCCGGTTTATTAATCTTTGGTTAAGTTCCAGTTAGCAGAGTAGGGCAGTAATCGAATAAAATTGTAATCATGAATATAAATAGTAATTATTTTGGTGATTAATGATTATTTATGTAGTCATTATTCATGAATACTTTACTTGAATAATATTCATTATTTATAATCAAATTTTACGTTGTAATCATGAATAACGTTATTTATGAAAGTATGATTATAATTAATATTCATAATCAGAATTAAAGAATAAATTATGTAATTATAATCATTCTGTATAATTACTTTGGTAAATAATCCACAAAACACACATTTTATTGATAAAATTTTAATTTTAACAAAATACCATATTTTGTAAAAAAAATTGAAATATTTTTTATTTTCTGATCGTTAGAAAAAAAATTTTAAAAGTTATTTAAAAAAACCATGCCTAGCTTACGAAATATACACCCCATCGTGCTTGCAAGAAAAACGCACAATTTTTGATCGAAATTCGACAAAATATTAAACTAAAATGCCAATTAAAAGGACTATATATTATAATTATAATAATATGTATAATTAAAAAAAAATAATATCTAGAAATAACACTGGTGTCTTTAATCCTTGCTTAAGGAATTTAAAGTGAGAACAATGTAACTAAGAAAATTCATTCACTCGTTGTTATATAATTTCGCCGGGATTAATCATATACAATGACTACAATTATTAATCATTATTCTTTCCGATAATTGACGATTTCAGTATTTATAACCACTCAAAACGTAAATAATAAATAATATTCGTTATTCATGTTAGAATGATTTATGATTACTTTGTTGTAATCATTATTCATGATTACATTTCATAAATAATAATCATAAATTCATAATCATAATCATAATCGAATACAATTTGCCCCACTCTGCCAGTTAGTCTGACATTTAAATTCTATATCGATAGTTGTGAGAACAATGGTATCCATGGAGATTATCTGACAGATAACTAACTGCAACTTTATCTGGACATTGATAAAACCGCCCTTAAAACGCTTTCTATCTCTTTAAAACAATGTTTTCTCGCCAGCAGTAAAAAATATTCTTGTGTTACTTTTTCCTCGAAGAATGTATTTTCTTTTTAAGAACAAGTAGTCTTCATGAAAATTAAGTAACATTTTACTTGTATTAAAGCCATGTTTGTCTTCAATGAAGAAACATTCTTGAACCAAGAGTATATGTTTTTAAATGAATTTCATCTGGTCAGAATGTTTTTATGGTTATTGAAATTATTATTTTTGCACTGAACACTTATAAGTTGTCTTGTCAAAAAAATATACCTACTTGGATGGGTTTTTTGCTTCTAATCCTTTTAATTATTTATTTATTATTACACTGAAATATCTCAAACGGTTTATAGCTTGTCTAAATCAGTCTGGTACACCCTGTATATATAAAAGGTTTGGATGAAAGTTTAAATCCTTAAAGTTCGAACGCTGTAAGTTTGATACCGCAACGTCATCAACCACGCATTTCCTACCGTTGTCTAGCGATAACGTTGCGAACAGCGTTCGAACAATACAATCTTTTTATAAATACATTTTTTTTAAATTATAGTAATAAAATTCAATTTTTCTATACTCAAACCCATGTCATTTTTCGAATCACCTTGTTTAAAATTTCTGGAAACAGGATAATTTTTCCTATTTCAGCAATTGGGCCCTTTTTTTTTAAGAAAGTAAGAAGCAATAAGGCACTAAAAAGTGTTAAAAAATTGTTTTTTGAGATTTCCATAAAACATATACCTATGTAATAATCAATTTCTAAGCCATCAACATAATCCTCTTTTGTTTAGAAACAAAATTTTGAAAGAATCTATGAAAAATAACACCTGTGCAAAAGCGTTAATTCCCACAGATTTCCCATAGATTATTTCAAAATTCGTTTCAAAACTCGAAAAACAGAATAGTATCATGTTGATGGCTTTAAAAATTGATTATTATAGCTTATTTTTATAGAAATCTTATGAGCAAGCTCGTGAGTTACAAAATACACTGTGGCGTATGAAAACAAATGTTACTTTAAAAATTATTTTCTTTAAATCTATGCTGCAAAAAAATCTAAAATTATTTGTGAATGTGTCTGATGCCTCAAAAATTCAATTATTCAATTTTAAAACCATTCAATGGAAACTCTTCAAATGGAGACACGAGCTTAATGTACTACTTTTTTACGTTAAAAATATTTGAATTTTTATTAAATGGCGTCCTAAAAGACAATTTTTTTAATGGGAAGTCGGGACATGTGACGCATCTCTGAAAAGGTATTTGCAAGCTGATCATAAACAACGACCTATTGTTTAGACCCTATACAGGGTTTGTAAGAAATTAGCATCATAAGATTTACATTTAAAACGTGTTATTTTTGTAATGACTTATAAGTCATTACAATAATATAATAATAATAATATAATAATTATAATTTAGAACTTTTAAATTTTAGTATGTTACTATTTTAGTATGTTAGTACTCGTTAAAATTTGAATGTGGCTGTAATATATTTGCTGAAAGTTATTTTTTTGCTACACCCTGTACGATCGGAAAAATAGGCAGTTACTTACAATTAAATAATAGGTCACATGTCCCACATTGTAATTTTATTTACCCACCTTCTACAGTACGACCCATTTTTTGAAATACCTATATGTTAGGTTTTAAATACTAGAATTTCAATTTTCAAAATAAAATGTTGAAAATTGTACTCGCAACATGCGTTTTTTTGTTGTTAATATTTTGGACATATATACAGATTCTGAACAATTAGTAGTTGGTTATGTTCAGCTTGCAAAGACCTTTTTAATGATATGTGACATGACCCCACTTTCCATTAAAAAAATTTGACCTTTTGACAGTACGAGGCCGTTTTGATTTTTTTCAAAAAAATTGTACGTCAAAAAGTATTATTACATTTTAATGTCTTTTTTAACATACTAAAATTTTCAACGCACTCACTATGAAGTATGTTAAAACATTATTATTGATCAATTTTAAAAGTCGATAAAAAAGGATTAAAATAAATAATGTTACCAAATAAAGTCCTGCAAGTATATTGAAAAATTTAGGAAATCAGGAATGGACGACTAAGTGACTGAATGTGAAAGTAAATTGAACACGCAATCGTTATTGTACCCTAAAAAATTATTTCCGATATGATGATATCCATGACGATTAAAATTATGTGCAATTGATCAACAAATCCTCTTTTGGGGGTTTCCATAAATTGTTTATGTCTAGAACATTGTCTTACTAAATTTATATTTTATTATACTGCGTACGAGTATTTTTATCTGAAATATTAATAACTCGTCTGCAACAGTCCAAAGGATTGTTGTTTAATCTCTAACGGGGTGGCATTTTTAACCGAAATCACAAGATAAAAGAAAATAAAAAACAAGGTAGAGGGAATCAAAACCAAAGAAATGATTCGGTTCGTGCAATGGCGGCGGGGTCAGGGGGCGTAGTGGGGGACAGGGAGGCGAAAAAGAATAAGTGTTGGCGCCCGTTTTATCTTAATGACTCTTCGAGTCCAAGAAGAATGCAGACACGTATTCACTATATAAATTCCGAAAACGAAACGTCCAAGTCAAAATCAAAATTACGATTTTTTCTTTCCAAGTAATAATGCGACTTTAGTTTTACATTTTTTATTTAGTTATAAAGCAAGATTAAAAAATTAATTAATCTTTAAAATGCAGGAAACAACACAAACATTGGGACACATTTTTTATTTCGTATGATAATGTCGAATTAACTAAAAATTTAACAGATTCTTTAAACACACCATATGCAAAAAAACAAAACAAAAATTAAACAGTGAAATCTGCATAGAAAAAAAAACACTAGTTTGTTTAATAAACATGTATGGAAAAAAGCCCCTGACGGCCCCCCGAAGAGGGAAATAAAATAATAATTTTTTTTTAAGTATTTCTACAGGGTTGAACCTTAATTTGAACTTAATTTGGGTCCAAGATGTATTGTAAAGGGGCGGAGCAGCATCTAGGGAAATCTAAGAAAATGTGTTAACTGAATACTTAAGTATTTTAGTTGTTATAGATTAATAAAATTCAAATATATACTTACAAAATTGTATGTATAATTATAATATAGTGACTTTTCCTAAATAAAGGTACTCTTGATTTGTATTGCTCAAATGCACTATTTTTGAGGAAAATGTATTCATAAATTACTTTTATTAGCATACCCATATTAGATTTTATCTACTATTGCATAATATTGTTTTTTTTCTTCGTGAATAATTATAAATTCCCTGCCTAACAACTCATTATTCACGTTGTTAGGCATCAGTGATTGGCCGATTTCAATATTCACTGTTATTTAAACCAATCGGGTTTTAAATTGGGAGAAGGCGACTATAATAACATTTAAAATTGGTAAAAGGTGAGGTTAGCCATTCCACAGATGTTAGATTTTATTTAATTATTTTTGAAAATAATTTAATTATCTACTTATTGGAGTAGCATTATTCACTCGGATGATTTAGGTGTCTTGTCTGGCGACTCGAGACCTGATCCTCGTGAGTAATAGCCTGCATTATCTCTCGTATAATAATAAATAAAATTATTATTAAATATTAATCGCAACCCATATTAAATGCTTCTTAAAATCCAGGGTATCTTTTGTAGTGAATAGACAAAATAAAAAAAAAATCCTGAAAAAGTTGGGGCTGTTTTTGTGCATCTAACCCCCTCAAACGGTACGCCTATGATTACATTTTCCAGTTTTTATTTTAGGTCTAGTTTCTGCATATTAAAATTACCGAAGTATCAACAAAATTATGTCTTTATATTTAAGGAAAAAAATCATCCTCTTAGGACTCTATTCGGAGGGCCGTAGGAAGCATTTTCCGATACATGTTTATTAAACAAATTAGTGTTTTTTTCCTATGCTTCCTTAATTTCGGGACACCCTGTATAATTCCCTTAAAAATGAGTGCGCTAAAAATAATCGGTCAACATTTTCCGATGTCCGAAAAATATGTTGCAATAATTTATTCTTGATATACTGGCAATATCTGAATATCTGTACCAGTCGCTTTAAATGATTTTATCATACGTAAAATTGTTATATCTTTAAATAGTTATAACTAGCTTAACTTAGGCTAGACATAACAAAATGTTATTACAGCAATACTTTTTATAAAAGGCAGGACGTTTAGCGTCCGCAGTACCCACATATTTAAGGGTCGAATTCAAGATGTCCTGTAGAATCGGGGTCCCGGATTCTACAGGACATCTTGAATTCGACCCTTAAATATGTGGGATTCCGGGACTAAAAATCGCTTTGACAATTAAAAAATAAAATTCGTTATTTTTTTTGTTATTTAAGATGTTATTGGTTAGTGGTCAGAGTCCCTCCGTCCTTCAGCAGCTATGTTCGCTACCCTTTCCATATTTTTCCGTCGAGGAGCTCTCCAAGGTTCTGTACCCGAGCCTTTTGGCGTGCTGTGTAGGCAACCAGCACACCACCGCCATACTAAAACAAGAACTTTCCTATGAGGTAAGATATGTTTTTTATAATTTATACAATATAATGTAAAAAAGTCGTAATTTTTTAATTGAATCTTACATTTTTGATATAATTTATCAAAAATGCTGATTTTTTCTTACATTACAAAAAAATAATTTAAAATATTTTTATAGTTACTTGAGGAATTCAGAAACTCGGAACAAGGAGAAAAACACCGCTTGGTAAAATTATTATCCAAAAATCATTAAATGTATTTTATTTACTTAAAAAATTAACTAACAGTATAAATACTACCTAATTATAATTATTTCATTTTAATGAATTCTATACATTTTTGTTTTGGTGCTATATATTTTTTTCTAGTTATGTAATTCACTTTTTACTGTGTTTTTTTTCAAGTTTTAGAATAATTTTTAATTTAAATTTTTATTTTTCTGTGTGATAATAGTCAAATTTTATAGTACCTACCTATTTTTTATTAAAAAGATAAATACAAATTAATCTATATCATAAATAATTATTTTTATATAACCAAAAAGATGTGTGTAAAACTGTAGTGATATTAATAAGCAACTTATGGTAGCATAACTGTACTGATAAGTTTATTTATAAATACCCGCTTAATAACTGTGTAAAAGCTAACTGCAAATGGTAAACTTAAAGATTTTTTGAAAGCCCCTTAAATTTTCTTAAAGCTGGTGCACTCGTTAATCCGTACTGGTGTAGCGTTTTTTAAGTTAGTAAACCACCCTGTATAATGTTTTGCTTTTGCTTTTGCTACAGAATACTGTTGTGATTCTTGTTGTCTTTTCAAGGACTACACTAAATACCCAATTGTGATTTAAAGTATATATTTATTAATGCTCTAGCTTTTATACAATAAATAAATTATTTAGATGAAATCATTATTGTTTTATTTACAACTGGTTTTAAGGAAAAAAATTCGACTCTCTGGCCCATAAATTTTCTTTATCTCCGGCCCATAAACTAACTTTTTAAATAAAAAAAATAAAGTTAAAAAAAATTGGCAAAAAAAGTAAAAAAAAAACTTAAGGTGGGCTTATACCACACTGTTAAAGTGAAACTTCTCTCAATTTAATTTATTAAATTTGTGTTTTGTTTTTAATAGATATCATTTGTATGTTCGATAAACCGATATTTAAATTTAATGTATGGGCAGTTTCCAATTTGGACAAGTCCTCGAAACATTTTAAGCTTTTGAGCTTTAAAGATTTTTTAAGGTTCTAAGTTTTTTTAGCTTTTAAGCTTTTTTGATATTTTTTAAAAGATTTAAGCCTTCAGCTTTTTTAATTTTTTTATATTATGGAAAATTTTGGACATTTTGAAAATTTGGCCCACCTTTTTTTATATTTATAGCACTATGTGAATTTTTTCAACAATTTTTTAATTTTGAACCAAGGTGCGAATTTGTCCTATTTTTTTTTAATTTATGGTACTGTTCAAATTTTGTTCGAATTTTCTAATATGACCCGGGAATGTGAGCGTTTCATCTTCCGTAACGACATGTTTTGGTTTACCCGTCTGCATAAAAGTTTAACTTTAATTTTTTTTAAGTCAAAAATTTGTTCCGTTTCTGTCACATTCTCGTCCCGTTCCAGGACCTAAGACAACTTCATGCCAAATTTTATTAAAATCCGTTCAGCCGTTCAAAAATATATACTGTTGCGTTATTTTACCGTAAAAAAAAAGAAAGAGAGGAGTAGAGAATCGGTCAGAAAATGTTTGTGATAACAAGATTACTTTAGGTCAAGTAAAAGGTATTCCTTTGAAAGTTTCTTTGAATAGTGTTGGTAGTAATAGTAAACGAAATTTAAAACGTCGTCAAATAACTGACTATGTACAAAAAATTCAGTCGATTCTTTCTTTTTCCACTAATACCACGATTAAAATGACTGCATTACTTCGAGCTGCAACCAAAGATAGAAATTTATTCGAACCACAAGTAAGAGATGAATTACAGAATAAAAATCATTTACCAGATAATTTCCTGCGGACTCGTGAAATCTGCAGCTCGTTTCCAATTCGAAAATATCATCGATGATAATCATACCACGAGTTATATTATGGGTGATTATAAAATATTGTACTTTCTGTATTTAGTTAAGTTTCATTGTATGTTGTATTTTGGTTTGGTTTAGGTAATATAATGTAATATAAGGTAATATAATGTAATTTTTTGTTATTGACTTGTCCTATAATATATCACGATATTATCGTGATCTACTGGATGAATAAAGATATTTTTATTATTATTATTATTATTATTTTTCTTCATAAGATTCACCCGGCAGAAGTTCTTCCAATTCTTTTTTTGTTAAAAGTCTGATCGTCGATCTTTTTAATAGTATTTTATGTATCAAGTTTGATAAACGCCATTTTAGACACGAATTTAATTTAGGATTAATTAAATAAGTGTCTAGAAAAGTTTATAAACGAGTTGCATACAAAACAATAGAGTAACCAACATGGGAATGTGTAATAATGTCAAATGTCACATTTTTTGTGTACATCGAAATATATCCCTTGAAAATGGGCCGTTTAATCCGATATAGAAAGGGTTTTTCACAATGAAAGGAAAGAAAATGTTTTATTGGCACTCCAAGGTGAAGTCCACCCGAAATTAAGTTAAATATAGTTTACTGCCGGCGAAATTAAAAGGTAAGTACAATGTTTATATAAATTTTTTAAATATTATAAAATAATTTTTACATTTAGTATTCTTCAAGAAGGGCACTTTATTTTAGCGATTGTATGACATTTTACAACTGTCAACTAACTTTATCCGGTGACTGAAAACCTGTTGCTTACTTCAGCCCGTGACTAAAAGGCCATAAAGCCACAACTTGTCAATGTTTATTTAAACATGTGCGATAATTGGCGTTTTTTAAAGGTGGGCTAAATCAATAATTATTTTAGCTTTCGCAATTTGCTTAAAGCCACCGAAAGAGAAAATAAATTTACCGAACTGTAAGCATTTTAGGGTTGGAGAGCTTAAAACTCAAAGAAGTGAAAGTATGATATATTAGTCACATTTCATTTTACATAAATACGTTGAGGGTGCCTTTATGAAATTTTTTTTTAACAATTAAATTGCCATTTATTAAAATATTATTCTTCTACATAACAAGAAACAAACTCTAAAAAAATATATATATTTATAATAAATATATAAACAAAAAAACTAAAAATTCTACTTTCTTATGAAAATCTTTGAGCGCGTTTTTCTCGCTAGATCCGCGGACGTATGGTTTGGTGGCTTGACTTTTACTATAGTACCGATATTGATAAGAGTTTTTTCTAAGACCACTATGTAAAAGTGACATTTCGTATTGGCATCGTTGCTTAGAAAATGAATCTTTTCATTGGCAAGGCAAAACACGAATGTAAAGTGACATTTCTGTGTGAAAAGAAATTGACAGCATCGTTTTAAAATTTATATTGTATAAATATCATTTATGCACGATGACATTATAATATGACAATTATAACAAAAATTCTTTGACGTAAACGTCTTTTTATAGCCCGCGGGCGTTATTATGACCCAGCGGGCTATAATGAAACGTCAAAAATTAAAAACAACAATGTTACACCATTTGATATATTCGAAGTAAGTTTTTTCGTATAAAATATTTTGATTTTTCCGGCAGCAGGCCGCAATTTTTCGCCTTTTCAGCTGCTTCCTCAATTTCATTTATCTTTAAACTTTAAAACTGACTGATGTCAGTTGACATTATAATATGACAATTATAACAAAAATTATTTGACGTAAACGTCTTTAAAAACAATAATATATTAAAAATAATAATATATTAATCGTGCATAAAGTTTTGTATGCATTGCTGGCATAACTGGTTTTTATGGTCCTACGACGCTTTTCTAGCCCTCGCGCTAACGCGCCTCGGACCATAAAAACCTTATTATGCCCTTAATACATAAATAACTATTAGAGCACAATTAATTGTGTTTGTATAATAAATTCTAATTTTTAGTGCCTTTATTTAAATTGATAAGGTACGTTTATTGATTTTAAGTAACTTATACCTACCTTAAAAATTAAAAGAATAAGATGAAAGTAATTTTAAAAGCTGTCAAACACTTTTTAAGGTTATTTTGTTTTGTATTTGAATATAATAAAAAATAAAAGGGTCGTAGAACATTGTATTTCACTTGTGAGAAAAGCTTTATTCAAGCTTGTGTTAATGCACACTCGGCCTGACGGCCTCGTGAGCAACTTAAACACTCGCATGAAAAAGCCGCTTTTCAAAACTTGTAAAAAACAAAACTATTTCTTAATATCTCGTGAACGAAAAAGGCAATTGAAATTCCGATACAACTGATGAAATGGAATGTTGCGGATATAGCAAATTCATCATAAGGTGGTTAAAAATAGACCGTATAGTAATAAAATAGTGGAGTGGCTGGCTCGGTTCAATTAAGAAGTTAAAGGAGCCGTATCCGTTATATCGAACAAAAATGCATGCGTCTAATAAAAAAAACGTCTTGTTGAGAGTGTTTACACTTGAAAAGGCATGTGCGACATAAATTGAAGTGGCGCTAGCCGTAAATAGCACTTAAATGCGGACCGATCTAAAGGAAAAGACGCCTTCAACGTTATTTTCCCATGAACCATAAATATACAGAGTGTCCGATATACCATTGTTAAAATATCTACAATTTTCCTATAATCCTTTGGCTGGAATTCTTTCAAGCATTTAACTGTTATGCTTTTTAACATTTTAAGTTAAAATTACAAACAAATTGTTTTCTTTATAACGATTTTCATAGCTCTTCTCCAACTATCCTTTTGTTGAAGTTTAGATGGAAATTATAAACAATAAATTAATACTAAACACCCTTTATATCTTGCTAAAAATACAATACCTCAACTGCTCACTTACTCACCAGTTATGATTATTACTGAATTTATGTTAAAAGCTTTATGCACAACTGTCTACAGTAGTTAAGTAGAAATATTAATTGGGTAAAGCTGCTAAGGTAATATACAGGGTTTAACTGAAATGCTTTCCCAAACTTCACTATTATAACTAATAATAAATTTGTTTAATATTTCTTTTTAAATCACCCCTCTAAAAATGAATTAGTCAAAAATTACTAGTTACTACTTAAGTGGCTTCTTTTTTACTTATACCATGGTATACCATGGTATCCACAACATTAAATAGTCAATTAATATGTAAAATTGTCCCTGAATCCAAAAATACTGTAAAAATAAAGTAAAGGTGTATCTCTTTAACCTTTATTATTTAATGTTGTTTTTAACACATTTTTGCTTAGCACTTTAATACACTGGTAGTACCTGGTCTTTCAAAGGTGTCTTAGATTTTAATCAGTAATCGATAGAACTCACAAAATAAGAAGAAAAGTTTATATGAACTGGTGTGTTTTAAAGCTTCGTTTTAGAGATACAGGGTGGTAGTTATTTAAAAAATGTACTTTTTGTTTCTTGGCTAAATTTAATAAAACTTCGGGTTTTTAGTAATTGGTAAATGGCTTAATTTAATTACATTTAATTTAGTTAATCCAAAGGCGGCGCTGGGGCATTCGTAGTGGATATTTAAAAATAAAATTTGGCGACGCTACTGCGGATAAACAAGTTTAATTTTTTTTTTTCGAAAATAAACAAGATAGAGACAAACAAGTTGTATTTTTAATTGCTTAATCTAAATATAATATCAAACTCATAAAAAAGCGGTGACGAGACCATAATTTTACTTTAACATCATGTATCTCTTAAACAAATCTTTAAAGCATACAAATTCAAATAAACTTTTCAATTAAGTATAACTATTTTACATTTTATGCTCATTAAATATCTTTTGAAACCAAGAAGCTACAGAGTTTAACCCAAACCTATTTTTTTCTAATATATTGTGACCTGTTAAACTTAAAAATCACAAAAAAAAAATTTTTATGGCAAAGTTTTTGAGATAAAATTTTTTCTTTAATATTTTGGTTGTTTAAGAAAGCAGCTTTACAATTTGGGTCATATCTCGGGTTAGAAATGGCCAATCTGGTTGAAAAAAGTTTAAAATTAAACATATTTGAGTCGCCAACAAATATCACCTTATTAGTACCCAATCAGTTAATAAGCTTAAGTTCAATGGGCTCAAATATTGGAAAAAGTCGTTTTTTTTGGAGAAAAATGAGAATGTAACATTATTTTCTTTGCCAAGGATGAATACAAATCAACAAAATATGTCAATTTTTAAATTATCTACGTGGAGTTCAAACTGTTATAAAGAAAACAAGATATTTTTAAAACAAATCTATTAATAATTATTATAATTAAAGGGGTTAATGCAAAAAGTGGACAGGTAAATTTTTTTCCGAAATTAAGTTTTTTACAAAAAAAGGTTCTATTTGCCTAATAGAACCTTTTTACTGTTAAATAAATTTTATTTTATATTTTAATATTAAAATACAGTGTGTTCCTTTTAAAACTAACCCCCCTAAATTCTCGGAAACTAGAAGTATTTTAAAAAACGCAGACACAGGTAAAGTTTTATATCGAGGGGGAAAACTTTTTAAGGCAAAATTTGGTTTCCCACCTTTACCTTCTGCGCCCCGGAGTTACCCCCTTAAGAATTTAAATAGAGAAGGGGTACCTACAGAGTACTACATTATTTTAAAGGTCTTAAAAATCCCTATTAAACGGCATTTTTTTTTTTTTTTAATTGGTCAGTTCATTTTTTAGATATGTACAAATTATTAAGGGGAAAGCTCCTGGGCATAGCATTAATAGCATTAATGGCAAAATTTGTTGTCTCCCTCGATATAAAACTTTATGTGTCTCGTGAGTTTTCAAAATTCTTTTAGTTTCCGAAAAATTCAGGATGTTTCATTTTAAATGGAACACTCTATATATCATTATAATATAATTTAATATACAATACTATTGTAAATTAAAAATAATTTAGGTTTTTAGATTGCCTTCTGTTTTCGTTATCTGATTCCCTTACAAGGAACCAAATATAATCCCCTATCATTCTTTCATTCCAAAAGCCCTGATAGCGCCGCTCCATGGATTTTATTTCTTGATGAAACCTTTCACCATGCTCATCAATCAGGTCACCAAGATTTTTGGGAAAAAAATGGGCATATTTTAATGATTTTTGCTTCTTTTTGGTAAAATAGTAAATACTTAATTCTAATTTTGTCCAAAAAATTGACTTTTTCTCGATATTTGGCCCCATTGCACCTAAACTTATTGACTAATTGGGCATTTATACAATTACATTTGTTATTATGTTAATTAGGTTTAATTTGACATCTGTTGTAATCAAATTGGCCATTTCAAACTCGAGATATATCCCAAATAGTAAAACCGGCATCAAAAAATCAAAGACAATTTTTTATTTGGAAAATCTTGCCATAAAAAAAATTTTTATTGTCATTTTCGAGTTTAGCAGGCCAAAATACATCAGAAAAAAATAGTCGCACTCAAGGTACATTTTGACTGTAAACCAGTGTTACGCTCTCTAAAAATGAATTTGTCAAAAATAACTAATTACTACAGTTATTAGTGGCTGCTTTTTCACTTGTACCATGGTCAACCATGGGATACCATGTATGTAAAATTGTCCCCTGAATCCGAAAATACCGTCAAAAATTATGAAAATAGCAGTTTTTGAGATGTAGTCAATTCCAAATTAAATGGAAAATTGACTATATCTCAAAAACTGTTCTACGTTTTTAACTTTTGACGACATTTTCGAATTCAGGGGACAATTTTACATAAGAATTGTCTGTTAAATTTTGGGATACCATGGTATCCCATGGTTATCCATGGTACAAGTAAAAAAGCAGCCACTAATAACTGTAGTAATTAGTAATTTTTGACTAATTCATTTTTAGAGAGCGCCCTATCACCGAACTTTGCTACACTTAATTGAGTTATCCACATTTTCTTATTTTTCGTTACACTAGTTCAGTCCTAAAAATATATTTATATCATACAGATATCATAGAGAAAAAAAAACAGATGCAGATACCTAAAAAGCTGGATGAATTTAGTTAGACCTGTTCTTATTTATTAAATCATTCCAAATTGATTAAAAATAATTACAGTTCAATTACTAAGCAAGATATCATCCCTTGTAATTTAACATGTAGGGTATACGATAAATAAAGGGTTCAAGATAATTCAATAAGTTTTCAACGTATTGATATTATCATAAACAGAACACCCCACTACTTAAAATAAATCTTTTAAATGGTGATATAATATAATGTAATACAGTTTTTTCAGAAATAAAAGTAATTTTTTTTTAAACACTAGCTACATCCTTATATACATCTATTATTCCAAACTTAATCTATGAACCCAAACACTTAACAACCAAACTATTAACTGTGAGAAAGTTTATTATTTAGTGCATATACTAAAGTGTACACTCGATTGGGCATTCTCCAAGGAGCATTTAAATAGCTTAACCGTATCTAATGTTTGAAATTTTCACACGAGTGCGAGAAGCAAGTGCGGACGCACGGTCTTGATTACGGCAGGACGGACCCTGCGACGCACGCCCAATCAGCGAATATTCCTGCTCCATTGTTGTCCACACAAAAGCCCCAATATGTTCCTGTTGGACGATAGAACATTTTACAGTCGAGCACTATGGGAAATACTTAACAAAATCGGCAACAGTTTAAATAAATTTTTATCAATTTTTAATAGCAATTTGCAAACAATAGAAAATAAAAAATATATTAGAATCAAATAACACTGTAGGTAAATTTTCAACTCTTGAAATATGTCAGCTTAATTTTTGGTCGTAGATACAAATCCGTGCTCAGTTTCAGGTCTAAAAAAAATTTCCTATAGGCAATCCGATCCGGAGACACACTATATACTGGTATATTATAATTTGTAAAATAATATATTTTACCTCTTGTGCCAACATTTCTATGCTTTTTATTTCGTTGATCCTCAATTATATTCAATTAAAAAAACACTTCGGAGTTCCTAATTTAGGAATCCTAAATTAATTATAAAAAAAACTTCAGGTACACGTGTTCCTTTTGATCAATTAACCTCAAATTTTGCAAGAATTTGCTTTTTTTAAATTTATACAGAGTGTTTTTAATGGGATGCTTTAAATTCTTGAAAATTAAAATTGAATTTTGACAAGCTAAACCCATCACGAATTTGTAAGCGTTTAGTTGTGATATTTTCTAACCCCTACAGTGTAATAAGATATGGTAAAGGATGAGCTCGACTAGGGTTTTAAAATTTTCGGAAAAATTGAGCCGGCGAAAAAAACCGTTTTTCTAAAAAAAAACCGGAAAAATTTGTAAATTTATAGAAAATGTTTTTCATTTTATTCCAAAAGTTATACGAAAAAATGTAAAAGTCAATATTTCTAAAAAATTTCAAATTTTTACGGATGATATCGAGAAGCTGATTATAATCATATTATTATATTATATTATTATATTATAATAATTATTCCTTTTATTTTAATTCAGTAAGCATATTCTACCGGGCCGCAAAAAACATATTCGGTGCTGTATTAACAAATTATAATTTTGTAATTTAACTTAATTGTAATTGTAATTGGATATTTTAAATAGACTTCTTGATGAACTCAGAATTGAGCCAAACAAAGTAATTGATATATAAATATATAAATAAATCCAAATTAATAAATTTTAAATTCTTATTTCAATAAAAACAAGATAAATCCACATTATTGTTATTTTAAATAAACTTAAATTGCGTTACCATGGAAATAAAATAGTCAATGGCTGCTATTGAACTTGTCAAAATCAGTACAGACTGTCAATAAGTGTTTCTGTTTTCCGTCAACAAATAAACATAATAACAATAAAATGACAGGTATCAAGTTGACATCGAGGGGTCAAACACCCAAAGGGAAAACGTCCAGGGATTCCCATGTATTTCCATTATATTTTATTGTATTCCTATGTATTTCCATTGTATTCCTATGGTATTCCCATCTAAATGTCCAGGGATTCCCAGGTGTGGGTGACTCCTTGGTTGACAGATCATCTGTCAACTTGACACCTGTCAAATAAAAAACCGTTTTTTACCTTCAAATTTGACGGGCACATAGCTAGTTAATATGCTTTTTTAATGTATTTTTGGGTTTGTTTTTACTGTTTTCACCCTGTATAGACCTGTATTTTAAGCAAATGGACATAAATTATGTCCAATCAAGCAAATCTAGATTAATAAATTTTGTGGACAAATAATAAAAAATTAGATTTTAGGTCTTATAACACTATATGCACTTTGCGTGTTCTTTGTGGAAATGTTGCAGAACAAAAAATATTAGTTTTTCGCTGACAACCCGAAACTGCTTTTGTATGATTGCACCAACAACTGAAACTTAACCAGAGATTGATAAACCGGCCCTAAATCAATTAAATTTAATTCAATATTTATTTTTTTGTTCTTTTTTGTAATAATGTATATTTTTTAATAATTAAAAATAATGTTTAGGGGTGTGCGAATAATTCGAACTTACGAATTCGTTCCGAATCGAGTATTAATATTCGATTCGGAACTCGTTCCCGAATAATTCGAAAAATTTCGAATAATTCGAATTTTTTCGGAATTATTTGTAAAGACCTGAAGATAGGTTCAATTCAAATAAGTTCGAGTTCGGGTTTACGTTACCTGTCGTTCTTTCGACTGATTTGTTGCATAATAAATTGCAAATTGTAGAAATATAGTAGAAGAAAATGACTAAGTTAATTATTTTTTTTCATGGATAAAAAAATTGAGGATATGTATAAAAAACTTTGATAAATTATTGAAACATTACATGAGTAACCTTTTTCTTATAGATTTTTTTCAAACAAAATTTAATAAGACCAAAACAAATAGAAAATATCTCTTGCCACTATTACCATCTAGATTTTTTATGTTACCGACAGAGATGAACATTAGGGTGTCCCTTATTTTTATTTTTTTTACGCATACCCTCTAATTATATTTATTACCTGTTTATATACTCCCAGTAAAAATTTCAGCTCATTCTATAAACGGGAACCCGTGCCGACTTGCATCTGAACCCTCCGTTAGCCAACGTTAGGCGCGCGGTATTTTGTAACACGGTTGGTCGCGAGGTCTTCGATCGTCATCGTCATTTTGTGTTTGTTATTACGTGACCCTTATATTATAAATTATTAACAAATGTTAAAATATAGTTTTATTTATGTGTATACTTTGATAAAAATGTATATTTTCACAGGGAGTGGCTAGTTACCCGGAAGGGTCTGGTGAATGGGCCGTAAACTCTGAAATTGATAAACTTAATGGGTTTTACTCTAAATAACTAAAAGAGTCTATTGTGAGAGATGACTACTGAAAACTTATTTAACTGTCTGAAATATTTTTGGGAGGACATCAAGAAAAGAAATGCTTATAAAAAGCTGAAATTTCATATAACAGTATATTTTAGCAATACTAATTAGTATATTAATATATTTAAGGGATACAAATCAACTAAATTAGTGAAACAAATGATAGAAACAAAAGAAATAATATTAATTAGTAATCATATTAAATAAAATCATTAGAAAAATACAGTCATGAAGTATATCTTCTTTTTAAAGTGTTTCGTGTTACAAAATACCGCGCGCGCCTAACGTTGGCTAACGGAGGGTTTAGATGCAAGTCGGCACGGGTTCCCGTTTATAGAATGAGCTGAAATTTTTACTGGGAGTATATAACAAGTAATAAATATAATTAGAGGGTATGCGTAAAAAAAATAAAAATAAGGGACACCCTAATGAACATATTAGTAGTGCACGGATCCGATTTTTTTACGGATCGGGGATCCTTAAAATCCCGATATCCGGATCCGGATTTAAATATAGGAACCGGATTCGGATCCAGATCTGAGATCCGGTTCTAAGATCTTAGATCCGGATATCGGATATTAGATCCGGATATCGGATCTTAGATCCGGATATCAGATCTTAGATCCGATATCGGATCGGATTATTGTATTATAAACAAAACAAATATTCTACAGTACAGTACCTATATTTAATATTCTTTCGCAATGAAGAATTTCCTTATTATGACATCTTAAGTTTGTCTTGGTGAACAATCGACGTAGTTTATGTTAAAAGAGAAGCAGCCAAATATTTTTGTATGAAGAAAATAGACTTAGAATTAACTAATAAAATGATATTATATATATTATAAATTATATTATTATTATTAATTATAAGCATATTGTTGAGAAAAAACTCTTTTAAGCAGTTGTTTATTCGGATTTCGGATCTTTGCTCCGAAACTGATCCGGATTAAAAAAGATCCTGATCTGATCCGGATTGAAAAAGAGATCCGGATCTGATCCGGATGGAAAAAGATCCGGATCTGATCCGGATGGAAAAAGATCCGGATCTGATGTTTAGCACTACAAAGATCCAGTATTCGAATCTCGGATCTTTGATCCATATTTCGGATCTTTGCTCCGAATCTAAAATCGGAGTATTATATCCGGATAGATCCGGAACCGGATTATGCACGTTGAAAAATCCTGATCAGGTCCGGATCTGATCCGGATTGAAAAAGGATCCGGATCTAATGTTCAGCACTAGAACATATATTGAAAATGAGCAATTGTTTTTTTATAAACGAAAAGTATATTATTCGTAAGTAGAATATTTCGATACACGATTTAAAGGAATTTAAATGGAAGCAATTGAAAATCCAAAGATATTTCATTAATTTTTCGAATAATTCGAAATTTTTCGGATTATTCGATTTTTTTCGAATGATTCGTAGAATTTCGAATAATTCGAAAATTCAAATAATTCGATTCGAATTTCAAATCGAATATCAATATTCGATTCGAACGATATTCGCACACCCCTAATAATGTTAAGTTGTTGATTGCTCCTTTTTTTAAATGTGTATATTTTCCAAAAAAACAATTTTTCCCAAAAAATCCAATTTTTCCTATACCTGAGAAAAAAACGGAAAAAACTTCTCCCAATTTTAACACTAAGCTCAACTCGACTCGATTTGATATTTATAAAAATTCAAAACGTGCTTTTTCATGATATTCTTGCGGGAACATTTCAGAAAAAAAGCATAATTGTTTTGCTTATGTATATAACTGTAGTATACTACTGTTGTATTATACAACTTGTATACAAAATCATTTCGCATTTTTTTCTGAAATGTTATATTTGGGGATACTCTCTAAAAATGAATTAGTCAAAAATGACTAATTGTCGTCAATAGCAATTTGTATCCCGAACATTTAGCAGTCAATTTTCATGTAAAATTGTCCCTAGAATCCGAAAATGTCGTCAACAGTTTTTGAGATATAGACAATTTTCCATTTAATTTGAAATTGACTATATCTACTTACTATAATTTTTTACTGTATTTTCGGATCAGGAGACAATTTTACATAAGAATTGGCTATTAAATTTTGGGATAACATGGTATCCCATGATTAACCATGATACAAGTGAAAAAGCAGCCCTGATAACTGTAGTATAGTTTGGTTGCTTCACAGCTGAATGTACAGATCATGGAATAAACGCTAAAACAACTTGCCATATTCCCCTCTTTGTTTCCATAGTGCGCTTTTTCCTGCAACTTGT